AGTTAACACACCTCCCCCCCACCCTAGGGACCAACCGCCCGCACAAAGGCGGTCCACCACCAATACCCCCTCTAGTTGCCCGCACAAAGGGCACCCCTAACACCTCACACCTCCCACCCCCCACCTTAGCTATGGAACCTCTGTAGTTATACAAAGAGTTATTAGAGGTTACTTATGTATTAAAGACAGTCCTACGCAGAGAAGTAGACTTTTACCTTATAAGAGATAATTATCTTAACATAGATATAAACCCTATATAACTATAATAATGCTTATACGCAGTATACATCTTAATTAACATGCGTTATAAGATAGCTAGAAAGGAGTACACACTATAGAATAATAACTTTTAGGGATAGACAACACACAATTTTAACCTCCTCCCCTGTGCAATTAGGCAAGAGCTATTGCTTGCCTACGCAGAGCACAGGCACTATCCTAGAGGGAAGGCAAATTGTACGCAGGCTAAGAAGCTAGGGGATATTATAAATAGAAAAAGTATTAAGGGTCTACTTTAGAAGAAAAAGAAGTAGGATTAACATATAAATAAGTAAGCAACTCTATAAAAATAAAAGTTGCTAGTGTCTAAACATTAATTACAGGTATATTAATCTAACTTTATGTAGATATTATGTAAGCTTATCTTACGTGATATCTATGCAGGCTTAGCAGGGGGCTAGTATAAAACCAGCCATCCTAACGTACTTAGGATGGCAGCTGTCACCAGAATCAATACATTGTGTTGCCTGCTCACCTCTTAGTACGCCCCTTGGGCGTACGTTCGTTCGATCGAACCTAGGTCAACCGACAGTACATGTATATAGTTTAGACCTTAAACAACCTTTAGAAGGTGTGTTTAACGTTTAGTTTATTCTCTACATAGACTAAGTAGCATTTAGCTTTCTAAAGAGCTGCAATACTATTTGTATATTCGCACTATATATACCTCCAACCCTGTCTAACAGGACTGTTTGACCCGGCCACCATACTGCCGTACACAGGGCAAACCACGATCTGGTCACTCTACTTCCCCTCTATTAGCCTAATAGCCTTTACGTAGGATTGTACACCCTGCCGTTGGCCCCTATTTGCACGACCTACTCCCATCTCCCAGAGTATCTCTGACCTGAGTGCTTCCAGGAAGCAAGGATTGTAACAACTATATAGGTAAAGTAAGTAAATACTTATTACTATAAATAATAAATTTACTATATTAATAATAACTACACTACTAGTTACTACTAAACAAAAACATTATAATAAAGGCATTATATTAGTTTTAGGTTTTTAGTCTAGTTTTTTTTTAGTAATAAAAAATTTTTTATTAAAAAGTTATACTTTATTATATCTTATCTAAATTAGTTTTAAATTAGTTCTAAATATTTTCTACACACTATAGATAAAAACTATTAGCTTATAAAGAAAAGAGTAGTGTAACAATTCTATAAATTGTTCTATCTTAGGTTACTTAGATCCTATCTAAAGAGTCCCTGTATTAGCTCTAACTATAACTTAGCCTAGTCCCCTGTAGTTACCTCTATTTACCTAAGTATTTAGTTGCACCTCTCCTCTTAGCTAGCTTAGTAGTTTTCTAATATCCTTTTGTACAAGGCCTATAGGTGTTAATGGAAATTCCTAGGTTCTGAGTCCCCACGCACTCCCATATGCCTCTGAGTGGATTCCCACCGCATTCAGACCCATTGTCTTGCCTGTGCCGTTACAAGTTAAACTCTATATATACTATCCTAACTGCTACTCTATTAGTGTAAGATATACTGCTATTTTACCTTTACCTTTACTTTATACTTTTACTTTACTTTTACTTAATAACTCTAGGTTATTTTTAAATAAACTTATATAAAATTAACTAAAATAAGCAGAAGTAAGCCTTTAAGGTATTATAACACTTTATTATACTACTTAGGCCTATTGTTATCTGTTCTATCCTCTAAGTTATAGGACTACTATAAGGGTGGATAATGTAAGGCCGGATGTCCTAGAACGGGCTAGTACGGCCTCCCCTAACCTGTTTGGAGGTCACATGACCTGTGCTTCGTATATAAGCATGAATCCTAACAAGTGAGGATTGGCAGCGATTCGTCTCTCTTACAATACACTCCTATCTTTCTCCGAAAGCTTGCTCTCAGTGCTATCCGTGCTACCTACTATCCCATCATTACATAAAGTGTGAAGGCTGGCGGAGTCAGTTGAAGTGCGGTCCGCAAGAGGAAGCTACAACGGTTGATGGCGCTAACCTCATCCATCCACATGCATATCCCGTCCAACAAACATCACCAGCGAGGGGCAGGATGCATGTCTCATAAAGCTCATAGACGATATTCGTTATCCACGCCTAAGAATATTTGTCGCGGACATATTCTATACAGATGCCCTGCTGACTTTCCCTATCCCATAAATGACAAGATATGTGTCTCGTTCCAGCCCCTTTCATGAGTCCTAGGAGTTCTTACAAAGAGAAAAGAAAAGAAAATCTTCTTGATTCGTGTCCATATCCGTACACTTATCAGAGTTCGTTAACTTCTTCAATGACATTCCCCCCCTCTCCATCTCCGTTTCCAGGCTTTGGATATTTCCTATACCAATCTTTAGGATCACCACCGGGAACGCACAGACCTAGTCTCCAGAAATAGTCTCTGTGGGCAAAGAAGAGCTCCCAGAACTTGAATCGAGCAGGAATACCCCAGGACGGTCGGTCAGCGTCGGTACCGGCAATGCATCGCGGATCTTCATTTCCTTTACAATAGCGGATGTCAGCGATAGAGGGAGGCAGGTCTTGTGCGGCGATGAATATTTCCTCGCTATGCATACTATAGCCCCATTCAGCGAGCGGGAGGAGGGGGACAGGATCGCTAACATGGGTTACGCGGTGAAATTTGTTGGTTGTACTGTTGGGGGTGATGTTGAACCGGTCGTTGATGTAGGTCATTAGCTCCTTGTTCCCTACTCGTGGTTCTCCGAATGTAGTAACTCGAGGATCCCAGCCCCGATTGATGAAGTCAAGGCCAGCCAGCGCGGCAACAGCTCCGCCGAGCGAGTGTCCAACCAATGTCAGTGTATAGTTCGGGTACTTGCCGATAGCCTCTGTCAAGTCAGAAAGGATGGCTTTGCGAGTATGCAGCCACGAGGTGTAGAAGCCAGTGTGCACCGAACAATTTTCGCATTTTGGAGGGTGTGCAGGTGGGGGCATGTCTTCAAACGGTTTCTGGTCTACGATGCTCGGATTTATCAAGTCTGAAAAACTTGAATCGTCATCGTCGTCCCCTGGGTAAGGGACGTATTCCTGAGGAACGGTGGACAGGTCGATGATAGTATTCGCAATCGAGTAGGTGCCACGGAAAGCTAGAACGATACGTGGAGGCGACGGAGGGTGTGATACTGCTATGTAGCCACACGAGTCAGAGAGTAGAGGGCCTGTATTCCACGTCTGGGAGCAAAATAAGCCACTGCGCTGATAACAGAAGAGAAAAACATACAGTCACAAGCTCGAAGTTCTGGAACTCCCCACAGCGGCTGACACACTGAAAGGGTTTCTGGATGCCTAGGCCGGCTGTACCAACACAGTAGGATATATCGACTATGCGGGCGAGTTCCTCGAGCTTTGCGAAGAGCTCTACGGATATGGATGTGTCATTACGGTGGTAGAGTTGGACTAGAGGCTCCTGGTGAGGTGCTCCAAGGCTTCTAGGGTTAAGGAGGAGGAGGAGGTGTAAGATCAGGCCGAGGTAAATGGCCATGGGTACGTTATCACATATTCTGGGTGTTGTGAGGGGTTCTGTGGAGAGGGGTCAAGGTCAGAATGGTCTTGTACAAGTATGAGACATCGGCATGATGCGTCGATGGCGAAGCGAGGATCATGTGATCGGGAAATGACAACGCCGTCGGTGATCCTAACGAGCCTCGCTTGTCCGTTTCCGCCAAGTGGTAGGTCGTTTCTGAACTAGCCTTATGATGTAATCGTCACGCATTAACATTCACACCATCGGCCGATGATGATGGTTACGCTACCCATGCGGCCTGCTTACAACTATGCGAGACCTCTCCCGCTCCAGTCAATCCTGTTCGCGGCTACTTCCCTTCAAGAACCACCCCATCCGCTGCCATCCGGGACAAAACCCACAGGTCTCACTTTCGTTTCCAAGGTTTGCTCTGGGCCTTTCGCGCTCATTGTTCTCCCACCAGAATGGCCACGCCAATCCCTTCGATAGAGCCCTTGAGGGTCGCAACGCCTCTGATCCCCATGTCGTCACCTCAGCCTGCAGAGCCCGCGACAACGCTTCAAGTACCAGGACAACATCTTGATGGGTCAAGCGAAGAGCGCAGGCCGCGAAGTGCTAGGATCCAGAATAACCCAAGCCAGAATGTCAGTCGAGCGCCATCCTCTCGACCCCCCTCGGCGCTCTTTCCTCATACGCAGATTCGGTTTGAAGACGCTGACTTCAACCGTCCACCCGATCTCAACTACTCACTTCGTCCTAGAAAGAAGGCGATCTCCATTTTCTGGACCCTGATTGTCTTGGACTGCGTAGCTTTGCCTATTGCCTTATACTTTGGTCTCTGGTATGGAACTGGGTTATCACCAAATGCAGTCTTTAGCATCAGCACTGGAGCTCTCGGAACTGTCTCGATTGTCGAGTATTTCATCCGGTTTCGTCGGCTGTGGAGGAAGAACTCGAACTGCCGAGTCATAGGAGCGAAGCGATTTTACCTAGACTGGTTTCACTGGAACCTTTCTGTCGGATGGTTCTTTGTCATGATTGAGCTGATCGTGTAAGTTTTATGCCTCAATCGGTCCCTCTCTGAAACCGTGGCTAACGTTGCTGAAAGTGGCACTATCCCACGAAACCCTCCAATTCGCCTTCTTGCCCTACCGGCCTCGACCATGTGCTTCGCCATTGGCTGCGAACTTCTTATTGTCGATATTCTTCGGTTTGTGGGTGTCCCAGCCCCTTGCCGAATCTCCTCGCTTCCCATGGGGGCTCCGCTTCGCCCAGGGATCTACGCATACATTGAGGACGTTTGTGCTGTTGATGGTTCGGGCGGTACCGAGTTCCGACAGAGGCTCAATCTCCGTTATCAAGCTAGCAAAGTTTTCCGTGAGATGTTACACCGTTTGACCCTTTTCTGGGCTGCCGGTGCCATCGGGATCGCAGCAGTCACCACCGCAATTATTTTCACCATTCAAAAGGATGCTGCCTATGTAGTAAGTGTGCACAGTTTCTCACTTCAAAGCTTTCAAGCTAATTTGATTAGGTCGGCTGGACTGTACCATTCATTTGGGCTGGCGTCTGGACTGTCGTTACAATCCCATGGGTTCAGAGGACCCTGAAAATTGAATATGCTGGGTGGCAACACGCAAAGTGGAAGCCTTGAATGCCTCCTTTTTTTGTGGCTGAAATATTCTTGTATTACAAAGAGCATAGCGGTGGCGTTGGGGATATTGTGGAACTGGATCATTCAGACTAAAGATTGTTGGTTAGAACATATTGATTTTCCTTCAGTGCAATGGATGGATATTGCACCTTGGAGAATGTTGAAATGTTTGATGCCGGGAGATTGTTGCATGTCACCATAAGACTAACCTGAATTGCACCCCTAAGATTACTGCGTTCCTTAAAACAGGCATTTTAGAGGTCATGGCTATATTTCGAGCTTCGTTTGTTGGTGTTTGGGTTGTTCACGCTATCCAATTCTGGTCAAGCCACCTGCTTGACTCCTTCCCTTTCCCAACCTTTAACAGAGGTTGATCAACTGAAGGGTTCTTGGACTGCATCAATATAATGCGCCCAGAACTGCGAGTCAGGCCATCGGAAAACCTGTTTTTGATTTTTCACTTAGCCCTAGTAACAGGGATACATGTGTTGTCCATCCCAGGCCTTCCTTGAATGTGTGAGCATCTCACTGTTGCCTGATCTACATGGACCTGAAAACAAGGACCTGGAAAGCCTGCGACGCTTGCGAATTACGAAAGTTCAAATGCAATGGTTAAGAGCGCTGCCAGCAATGCAGTCATCTTGGCCTATGCTGCCTATACTCTGTTTCAATGGTGCAAAGAGCTCAAGGGAAACGAGGCCACTTGATATCTCAATGTCGCAAAGGTTATGCAGGTCAAGCTTCGATATTACCTTGAATACTTCCTGGGCCTCCTAAAACAATTTTATCAATACTATTTCCTTAAGTTGAATCTTTATGATACAGAGGCGGTGTATCTAATACAGCCTGTAATCAAAGTAGAAGAATTCAGACATTATATTCAACTGATACATACCGACCAGGAGGCATGATCTCTTATATACGCTTTTGGGGGCTGTACGCCGAACCTAACCTGTTGTGGAGGTCAACGAGCTTCCGACGTAATAGCCACCATCGAGAAACTGGTTAATGCTTCAATCCGGATCCGAAAACCACCAGTGCCGACACTCCGTCCCTCGGTTCTCAGCGCTATGCAGTCCATGTTCTTGAATAATTGTCCTATGAGCATGCAGGGTAGCGATGCTGCGTTCTATGCGTGACTCAATATCCAATATCAGCGCTGTCAACAGTAAGTAGTACGCTACGATTAACTGTTTTTCTGCCTGTAACTTCTCAGGTTGTTATTACGTACGTACGTTAAGAGTGAATTGATTAGGACCTACAGAGCGCAACTGTAACAGCTTATAATCCTTCTACAGTTGTACTTCTTGCAAGAAGTTACAACATAACTGCTAAAGTTTTCCTTCTAATATAGTTAGCTAGCGTTGTTAATTTACTCTCTACTGTATAATAACATAGCTAGTTCTTTTAAAGCTAAAAAGCTTTAATTATATTAACCCTAAGTGTAACAATTCTTATGAATTGTCACATCTTAGGTCGCTCAGAACCTATCTAAAGGGTCCCTGTATTAGCCCTAACTCTAACTTAATTCTGTCCCCTGCAGTTACCTTTATGTCTCTAAGTATTTAGTTGCACCTCTTCTCTTAGCTAGCTTAGTAGTTTTCTAATATCCTTTTATACAAAGCCTATATATGTTAATAGAATTCCTAGGTTATTAAGTCCCTACGCACTTCTATATGCCTTTAAGTAGATTTCTACTGCATTTAGACCTATTAACTTGCCTGTGCTGTTATATTATATTAAAAAAAACCTACTTTTGCTAGTAAAAGCCTTATTAATAATATTATATTATTTATTTATTTAACTATGTTTAACTTTAAAATATATTTAATTTAGTTTAAGTTCTAATTTTTATAACGTACCTAACAGGTTAGCTGGCTAGACAGGTTAGCTAGCTACTTTTGCTAAGCCTCTACTACACTCTTCCTATCTACATAATGCCTTAACAACAACACTAGATTAAATCTTTTAAAGAACATTAAATACAGCTTACTTTTTAAGCTTTTAAATAAGACTTAAAACTTTTTTTATAATACGCTATAGCTATTTATAATGTTTTTTATATAACACTAAGCAATTAACACCCTAGACAGCCTTTATAAGTAAAATGCAAGCCTAAATTAAGAAATCTAACTAACCTTAAAAAAAAGTAGTTATTAAGTATATACTTAAGCTTATTACACGCAGATTTCTTTTTAGGCTTACAGCTATAGCTAATATAGCTAATTCCTTGCGCGCAGAGCGCAATCTAGGCTAGGTTAGCTTAAACTAGCCTAGTATGTAAGTTAAGCACTACTTTAAGTTTATAATAAAGTTTAATTATAAGTATAATTATAAAAAAGCACTTTATAAAGATCTAAAAGTTATCTAGGGCTAGTTTTACTTAGTAGCTAACATAAAAGCTAAGTATAGTATCTAAAATAAAGACACATATAACTTTAATAAGTTAAGCTTTATAATAAGCTAAATATTAACTAAAGTAGTTATTACAGCTTTAAAAAAACAAAGATAGCTAAAAGTAATATAATAAAGTAATAAAAAGTAAATAATAGTTATCTAAAGCATTAATATAATAAAGTAGGCTATTTTACTTTTTATTATCTTTAAGGGCTGCTATTACTCTTTTACCTAGTATAAAAAAAAGAATTTACTTTAGAACTAGGTTATTATAGTCTCTAAAAATAGCTAGATAATAAATAAGCTTAAGCTATAGTAGTTAAAGCACTTTAGTAAGTATATAAAAAAAGTTATAAGCGCTTATTAGCTTTTTATTATTAATAGCTATAAAAGCTATAACTTACTTAATTTTTAATAGTACTATAAGAAAAATAAGATTATTACTATTTATATACTTTTACACTTATTACACCTTTTATAGCCTCTTAATATAGGTTATTTTGCCTTTTTAAAAAAAGTATATAAGCGCTAAGCTAAAGATCTTATATGTAACTAAATTACTTATATTATAAAACTTAAGTTTCTACTATGCGTTATACACGCCTATAATGTAGTAATTACTTTTAGTAATATTTAAAAAGAGTTTTAAGGCGCTAGTTTAGTTCTATTTAACTTAAAATAAGTTAAAATAGCTCTTAACATCTAGTTATGTACTTTATTACTACTACTACTTATTAATAATAAGCTTTAGTAGTTATAAACTCTAAGTAATACTTTTAAATTTAGGTTATAATTAATGCTTATAAAAGTAAAAATTTAAAGGCATATAAATAGCTTACTAACATCTATAGTAAAGGCCTTTAAAAAGGTTTTAAAAAGGGTAGCAATTATTACACATAAGCTAGTGTTAGTGTAACAAGAGATTATAATGCTTTAAATAGCAAATAAAGCTACTACATAATATAGATTATATATAAAAAAAAGTAAATTTAGGTAAAAAAGACTTTAATAGTTAAAGATAAAGCTTGTCTAACTACTTTAAAGGAGTTTAAAGCGCATAGTAATAGAAAAAAGCTAAAGACATAAGTGTACACTAAAAGAGGTAAGCTAAGTTAAAAGTAATATAAGTAGTGTAATTAGACTAGGCATAACTTACATATATATAAGAAAGTAGTAAAAGTAGACTTTAAATAATATCTTATGTTGTATTGCTTTATATAGGGCTAAAGTAGGCTGTTTTGCGCCAGAATAGGGTGGTTTTAGTAGGGGCTTAGCAAAAGTAGCCGGCTAACCTATTAGGTACGTTATACTATTACATTAAATTATTTAGTTATTATAAATAAAAAATTAAAAACTTTTTAACGTACTTTACAGGCAAGTTGCTTACACACCTAAGTTACTTACTTTTACTAAGACTTTACTAAACTACTTTTTTTAAACTAATGCATTCCTAACAACACTACTTAAACATGCTAAAAGAATGTTAGATACAGCTTATGCTCTAAGCTTTTAAATAAAATATAAAACTTTTAAAGAAACATGCTATAGCTATGTATAAAGTTCTTTAAAAGATAATAAATAACTATAGCGCTAGATAACCTTTACAAGCTAATTGTAAGGCTAGGATAGCGCTTACGTGTAAGGCTGAGATGGTGCTTACGTGCAACAGGTATATATACTATTCTATACACAATAATTAACGTTAGTTAATTATTTACACCTTTTTAGTTGTATTAGCGTAGTGGTACAGAGCTCTGTCCTTACATAATAATTAACTAATAACAAGAACAGTTGCGCGTTTAACCTACGCCTTAGACAGCTTAGCTAGTTTTTAGACTAAAACGTGAGGCGGCCTCTTCTAGCGCCACGTTGTCGCTGCTGGGAGGTCTAGTGTATATGGCTTAGCTGGCGTGGCCACTAAGCGTTGCGTTTTATCTCAGCAAACTCAGACAGGATAGGGAGAGAGCCTCGACAGGGGCAAGCCCCTGCTAGTGGCCTTAGTGGCGCAAGCCCTATCTCTCTAGCTAATAAGGGTGTAAGAAAGGCTTTCTCTCCCTAGCTATCTAAGGGACTTTTATAATTATTTCTTAAATACTACAACTTTACTGCTTACTTTTTATATAAGAGGACCTTTTATTATTAATTTATCTATGTTTTTGTTCTCTAAACTTTATAAAACTTTATAGTAGCAACTATATTATGTACTGCTACTATATATTAATTTTTAGAATAATTTGCGTGTTGTCTGTTGCTAAAATAAGTAATAATTTCTTTAGCTACACCCTACATCTATGTTTACCCCCACGTCTATCTTAGTAGCTACTAAATATACCCCTCTTAATAATGTTGCTGTTGTTTATTATTTTAATAACTTTCTTTTTTTTTAAATGTTAAGACACTTTATGCTGTTACTACTAAGTAGTTAGTTAACACATTACTAGACTACACCTGCTGCATAACATTAACCTACTATACAAAGAGATAAAAGCTTAAGCTTATGTTAATGTGTATGCACAAGCTTAAATAGTTACCTAAATAAACTTCTTTTAAAAAGGACTTTAAAGCCTAGTAAAAGAAGGATAATTTTTAAAAAAGCGCTTAAAAAGCATAACTTACTTATAATAATAAAAGTTAATTAGAGTGTTTAAGATAATTTTAATTCTAATTTAATCTACTAAAAGTTTAATGTCTTACTTAAAAAGCCTTTATTTAGGCAGTATTAGCCTAATGCTAAGTTAAAGGATGTTAATTTTTCTAGTATAAGCACAACTCTAGCTAAAAAGGCTTTAGCTTAAAGTAAGTTTATTAGTAGCATGCTAAGTAATAAGTGTGCAGCCTAGTGTAGTTATCTAAAAGTAAAGACTTTATATAATAGTAAAG